CAGTTCCAGCAATTGGCGGTAGCAGCAGCGGAGCCAGCGATGGTGGGAGCTGAGGGTCCCCTGCCCAGACCTAAGGCCTTGGCCAGAGGCATTAGGCCTGTGCAGGGACGGAGCCAGCGATTGCAGGGTGCAGGGGGGGAGCTGGCGATGGCGGGGAGAGGGGCAGAGCCAGCGATCATGGGGAGCAGGGGCTGAGCCAACGATTGAGGGAGCTGGAGGTCCCCTGCCCAGGTCTAATGACTCGGCCAGAGGCGTTAGGCCTGGGGAGGGGCCAAGCCGGCAATTGGTGTGAACTACAGAGGAAACACCTTTTCTGATTGCTCATTGGCTTAGCTTCCTGTATGCCACTGGTAATATTCTTAGTAACTTGGGTAATAAGAATCCACATAGGTGATCTAGGATTTTTTACCACACTCCTGGAGAAAAAAAGGAAGGTCTGCTGCTGGAGGGTTAAGAAATGTCATATTCTGTCTTAGCTGGTTTTGCTCAGTGGATAATGCCTCGGCCTGCCCACTGCTGGGTCTGGGTTCAATTCTGACTAAGGGCATGTACCTAGGTTGCAGGCTCCTCCCTGGCCTGGGCCCAGGTCAGGGCTCATGCAGGAGGCAACCAATAAAAGTGTTCCTCTCACTTTGATGTTACTCTCTGTCTTTCACTTTCTCTTCCACATTCTCTAAAAATCAATGGAAACATATCCTCAGGTGAGGATAAAAAATATAATAAAGAAACGTCATATCCTATGAAAGACACATCTTGAAAATGCCTAAAGAAAGTTGTCATTTTTTCACGGTAAAGGGACTGGAGTCCGTGTTGATGAAAACACCTTGGTGGCTGTGGTGACTGGCAGTGGCTGCAGCATCGGGGGTGTTGGGGCTGGTGCCTTCCCCCTGACCAGCCCGGTCGCCTCCCAAAAAGGGAGCCAGACTGAGGCTTAGGCCCACTCCCCCAAGGGGGAGCAAGGGAGCAGGGAAGTAGGACATCCCCTGAGGGCTCCCCCAGTATTGTGATAGGGGGCAAAGCTGGGCTGAAGCCCCCCCCCCCTCCAGTGCACAAATTTTTGTGCACCGGGGCCTCTAGTATACATATATTTTGTTTTTGTTTTTCTTTAAATTGTTTCACCAAACCTGTG